GGAAAGGATTGCATGTAATGCTTGTTCAATAATTCGTAAAGGAATTAATTCCAATACCAAGTACTGAGTTACAGCGCCATCATCCGATTACTTCGTCCCAAAGCAACTTAACATCAAGTTAACCAAGTGCACTCCTTCTCGCTCGTCCGTCCCCAGTTGAACTCATTTACCAACCAAATCCCCCAATATTCTCTCATAGGAAGATCTGATTACCTTTCCACCGACACAACCCCCAACACAGCCCATGCCAGCAGCATCCAACCTTGCACGGGGCTGTACGGCTGCAGACAACCTGCGGGAGGTTCCAGTCCACTAGGTCAAGAGAAGTCTCTTCGGATTCTTCACCGTCGTCTACAACTTTGTCCTGTTCACCACGGGGACACTTGGCCATGCAGACATTCTGCCAGCAGCATCCCTTGCATGTTCTCTTGCTGCACATGCCGTCGGTGTGGATGATGTCTGTTGAGTCGGGGAGGAGGTCGATGTCGGGCATGGAGTATCCTGAACATTTATGTCAGAGACAACATAGAGAGGGAGGGTAGGGTTGGACTCACTCTTGTGCATCTCCGGCGCTGATGCTGATGTAACATCATCGCTATCATCGTAGAAATCAAACCCAACATCAACGTCAAATCCAACATCACCCTCAAAATCACCATCCAAATCATACCCATACTCCCCATCATCATCAACATCATCATCCCGCTTATCCATATAGCAATACGTACAAAGCCCCTTCCGGCAACATCCACCCTTACAAGTCCTGCGATTGCACCTGGGCGGTTTGCCAGGAGATTCTACCATACCCGACTCTCGTCAGCTAACACATTCTACTCACAAAGAAAATACAGAGGGAGAGAAGAGAAGGTACTAACGCCAAGTAGCATCCCCATCGCCCCGCTTCGCCATATCATTCGGGCAATACGCAAGACAGAGGCCGTGGTAGCAGCATCCGTTTCCGCAGTCTCTGTTCGTGTGGCAGACGGGAGCGGTGATGTCTATGTCTCCTTCTGTGTGGAGGCGGGATTCTAGACATGTATCAGATTATGGGTACGTATGGTAGTATGGATAAGTAGATGGAGGGGTCTACCATCGATGAAACTGCGGACTAGTTCCGTGTGAACGTCATCCTCGTTGTGGAGACAGTAGGCGAGACAGAGTCCGTTGTAGCAGCATCCGGTGCCGCAGTCGGAGTCTTTGTGGCACTGGGGGTTGTCTGGTAGATCAGTATGGGGTGTCAGGTGGGATGTGTTGGGGTGGGCTTACAGATGTCTGTGAAGCTTGGGCTGTCGGCGGGGATGGAGGCCGCTAGGGTGGCGAGGAGAGCGAGGATGAGGGTTAGGTTCATTTTGGATGTAAATTGTAGAATAGGATTTGGTGATAAGGTGTTTATGGGGTCAAGAGGGAGGGAAGGACGGTGATGGAAGAAGAAAGAGAGTAATGGTCATGCTGGGGGAATCAGACTATTTGAATGTTGTTGTTGTTGATGTGAATACATGATGGAAATTGGGTGTTTAAGACACGGGATGGTCTATAGTGAAGAGTAGTACAGCCATGTTGGTTAATGGTGTCGATGGGTGGATTGAATGGTAGGCGTGAATGGAGACGAGGTGGTAGCGATTGGCAGATGTTGGATATGTTACGCATGTAATAGATTACATGGATTCGACTTCTTCGATGCAGTGAGATTGTTGAGCTAAGATGCTGCATACAGTCTAGTCGCATTGGTCGTAAGAACGTATTCATTGCTTCATCTATGTCCCACAAGAGGAAACATAGGGGAGGCAGGCAACTCGTGTGATGGTTGTCAATGTAGTACACAGTGTCCTGGGAAACGGACTATAAATAGTAACAGGGTATGGACTCGAGGGTCTTTCACTTGCCGTATATGCCTCGATGTTTGATTATTGAGCTAGTTATGAGGCTTCATCGTAGTCATGAGCAGGGCATAGTAAGACTAATAATTTAGAATTTTACCTATAATTAGAATTGAAGAATGTTCATTTGGCGGCCTGTTAGAGGTTACACTATATATCACCAAGCCTTATGCATATACCATCTCGGTCATGTTATTTAAGCCTCCACCAACAGAACAACTGCTTCATACGGGCGTAGAGACCACTTCTGTCCCGAGAACCGCCCCTTCGCCGCTTCAGCGCTTTCATATGAGTTCAAAACGACGTCCTTGACTCCCTTCACCCCATTGGCAGTAGCATCCCACTCCAGTGTGTTTTCAGTCCAGTTAGTCAGAACCAGGGCCTTCTGGTTCTCATATTGGCGTGAGTAGGCAAAGATCTCCTGGCTGTCCTTATCTACCAAGTCGTAATCCCCATACACAAAGATGTCGAGGTACTTCTTGCGCAGCCCAAGGACGGCAGCCCAGTAGTGGTAGATCGAATTTGGGTCGTTGACCTGCGCTTCAGCATTAAAGCGGACATAGTCCGGGTTGACGGACATCCAAGGCTTTGCGTTGGGGCCGGTGAATCCACCGTTCGGTGCGCTGGACCACTGCACCGGTGTGCGGCCGTTGTCTCGGGATTTCTTCTGGTATTCTTGACGAGCGCTCTTCTGGGCTTCGATGTCATCGGGCCTGTACTTGAGAAGTCTATCATTGGGAACAATTAGTGAATAGTTTCGATATGTAATGAAGAGAAATCATACCGATGCCAGTGGTTCAGGCAGTCAATGTCCTTGTACTCATTCATGTCCCATTCAATGGGAACGTTCCTCATTCCAATTTCCTGACCCTGGTACACAAATGGCGTACCAGACTGCAGCGCAAGAACCGTCGCAAGCATCTTACCTGCTTCCGTGCGGAACTCCTCCTTTGCCTGTGCATAGCGATCAATCGACCGTGGCTGATCGTGGTTCTCCCAGTAAAGGGCGTTCCACCCATCATTATTGTACATGAACTTCTGCCATGTCTCAAAGAAAGCCTTCAGATCAGTAAGCTTCCAGCTTCCGGGCTCGAACTTGTCGTAAGTTCCGTGGTCAATGTCCACATGCTCAAAGTTGAAAATCATGTTGATCTCGTTCCGATCGTAGCGCACAGCGCGGAGCACCTCCTCGGTGTCTCTAACGAAGGGCATCTCGCCGACACTGAAGGCGTCATACTCCTTCAAGATCTTACCCAGGTCTGCAAGGTATTCATGCAGTCTCGGTCCATTGGCGTAGTACTTGTCTCCCCACTGCCAAGGGGTACGAGGGTCCTTCACAGGGGCATCTGGGAAGCGTTGGTCTTTGCTGACGAAGTTGATGACATCCATGCGGAATCCGTCCGCGCCCTTGTCTAGCCAGAAGCGCATGATATCATGAACCGCCTTGCGAACGGGCGGGTGTTCCCAGTTGAGATCGGGCTGTTCTACCGCATAGAGGTGAAGGTAGTATTCCTGCGTGTGCTCGTCCCATTCCCAGGCACTACCTACAAAGTGCGTCAGAACACCCACTAAGGATCTACAATAACTTCAATCAAAGCGTCGAACTCACCTTGAAAATGCGACACCCAGTTGTTAGGCGGGTGCCGATTACCCTGCTCATCATACCTGGCCGGCTTCCACACATACCAATTGCGATACTCATTATCCTTGGAGCTGCGCGACTGCTTGAACCACTCATTCTGATCACTAGTGTGGTTGACAACAAGGTCCATAAGGAGCTTCATGCCCCGCTCGTGGCACCCCTGGATGAGCTTTTCGACATCCGCGACCGTGCCGTACTCATCCGCAATGCTGTAGTAATCGGCAATATCATAGCCCATGTCCACCTGGGGCGATTTATAGGACGGACACAACCAGACAATATCCACGCCTATATTCTTAATATAGTCCAGCTTGGAGATAATTCCCGGAATGTCACCGATGCCATCATCGTTGGAATCTTTGTAAGATGCAGGCCAGATCTGATAAACGGAGCATTCCTTCCACCAGGCGCGGTGAATCTGGGAGGCGGATTTGGCCATTATGCTGGTTGTTTAGGTGGCTTTCAGGGTGTTCGGGATGTTGGTGAGAGAAAAGAGCTGTCGTGTCCTTATCAGGAGCTCGAGAGGTCAGAGGGGCGCAGGAAATTGGCTGATCTGCCCCTCGATTGATGGGCACCGCGGGGCAGTCGCTGCTTCATCTCATTCATCGACGCTCGTGCGGAGAAATTCTCGGTGGGTTCGCCATCCACCGGTCGCACATTGTCTGCCACTCACACCCCACGATGTTGTGGACCAGCTTTTGGGATGGTTGAGAAGACCGTTACGTGGAAGGTTCAGGACACCCACTTCCGTTGTACCTGGGATGGGAGGTGATGTTCTGAGACACTCTGGCTCATTAGAAGGTCTCCGCACCAGCTCCGGCTCCACTCATCACCACCATCCGAGGCACTCTACACTCATTGATCCCAACAATTCCAGAGATCTCTAATTATGCTGCTAAATCATACATATATTTAAATCGGTTGAAGAAAGCGTCCTATGAATTATAGCAACCGTGGAAGTCTAGCGTATGAGCATTGTCGCTTGGAAATTCCAAGCACGAGTACCCCGGGGAAGGCTTGCTAGCCACAGCTCCAAATTGTACGGGCTTGAGGGATCTGTGAGTGGTACAGCTAGCGTTGCGTCTCGTGCTGCAGATACTCACAGCGGCCAAAGCCACGATTAGCCGAGACGACCCTGCTCTTCGGAACCAATAACACAGTCCCATGTCAGCTATGCAGATGTGAGAATCCTGGCCATGCTGGGCGGGGTCGGTGGGCAAGCTTGGTAAAAAAGACATTGTAATCCCGAACTGCAGACTGTTTCGGCTGTGGCGCTGTGGAGCAGTTGCTCTGGGGTATAGAAAGTACTAATAGCTTCGGGGATATAGTACATTCAGAACATATTCACGTGGCAGTGGTCTGAATCGTTACTAATCCGGCGAATCGGGCATGACATTATATTTGGAATGGTAACGTATTGGAATACGGGAGGTTTAGGTAAATCAATTGAAGACCATAAGATAATCTCCTCGGCTCTAGTCAGCTCGTTGAACTCCATCACACTGCATTGGCTAGCACCATAGCCATCGTGGCATAATCTAATAATGAAACGCATAACATCGATAGAGTAAGAATGAGGAAATATATATACTGTATACCATCGTACATCTGTCGCCATCGTCATCCTAACATTCGTGTCAAACAGTCTAGGGCTACAATTACCCATAAAACCCATCCTTGTGTCGTTGTACATATCTTCGTCAGTCGTCTTGAAGAGGAAGGCAGTCATATCAAGACCCTCTATTCAGCCAGTATCGTCTTTCAGTAAAGCATATCAGCATGGCTAGGAAAGTAGCTTAGTGCAACCGCAGAGCGCCATCGCGATCTTCGACATTGTCCAGAGCGTCGGTAATACGCGACCCGTCTCCCTCATAGAGGAAGGAGTCGTAAGTGGCAGCACCAACGATACAGCCCACGATAGGAGCGAAAATAGGCACAACGAAATAATAGTTGGCCGCGGTAAAGACTTCTCTGCCATAGATGAAAGCAGAGAACAGTCTAGGACCGAAATCTCTTGCGGGGTTGATAGCCTGTAGAATTAGCTTACTTTCATGTTAATGAAAAGTTCAGTAATCGGAAGAACCTACATAGCCTGTCTGCCAGCCCAATGCAGCTCCAATAGCAGTGAGCAGGAAGAACACTGTCACCTGAGGCGAATGGAACCTGATCGCATTGACCGGATCCGAGATGCTCAAAATACCAAACATCAAGACTGCAGACCCAAGCAACTCGGAGAATGCGGCCTCCCAATTCGACTCGAAAAATGCAGCAGGGTAAGTCGAAAAGATACCAGCGGAATGGTGTCCACGGGGGCTCAGGATTGAGCCGCCAGGAATGGTGAACTCAGGGTCCCAGTCTTTGATGGCGGAGCGGTAGTTGATATACACAATGGCGGCACCGACAAAGCCACCAAGGAACTGAGCAAAGAGTTTGCCGGGAAGTTTACGCCATTGTCCGGGAGTGGGACGGACCAGAGCCATGCAGATAGTCACAGCTGGGTTGATGGTTGGACCGGGGTCGGAAAGGTAGCCTGAGATGCAGACAGCTGCGGCCCAGGCAATGTTGATCGAGAGCCAAGTGCCATACTGATAGTCGGAAAGGAGACACTGAGCGACGACGCCATCGCCGATGACGATCAGGAGAGCCGTTCCGAGGAACTCAGCGACATATGGTTTGAGAGCCTTTCGGGAGAGGCCAGTGTTGAGAAACATGGCTATGAAGATGTTCGGCTTCCGAACGTGTGAATTAGGGAGAATTGTAGGGGTACCGTGGTAGAGATGGACTGTTTTGGAGGTTTGTTGACGGAGAAAACAGAGGGGGCCAGAGGGTGGCCCCGAGAACGGCACGTCATAGCTCACCCACCCTCACCGCCAGTGCTGTGGATTCCCAGGATAGGAAGGCGCGTTGGAGATAACGTTGGCCCTTCTGCCTCAGGTGTCGGTTATGGCCCCATTTATAGATTGCTGTGGGCTGAATGCTGGCGATAAGGATGCTGATTTGTCTACTGCAGTCCCACAAAAGTACGAAAAGCGCCATTCAAATATTCCCTTCTTGTCCAATTTGATCGTACAAAGCGTGGTAGACTAAGTCTGCGCAAAATACACAGAGAGAAATTCGACGACGAACGCACAAGAAAGACAGAGTCGCATCCCATAAATGCACCATGGAAGATTCATACTATTTCGCCTTCCTGGCTTTCTCCGGGTCGGCCAACATTCCTCGATTCCACCTCGGATCATCCGATTGTTGCACCGGCGCCCACCCAAGCTGGATCTGCATGATGGGTCTTATCAGCTCCTGCCCCACAGCGGCATACCACCCACAATGGCCATTAACATACCTGCATCACCTTCTGGTCCCAATCCTTCGTGAAGCTTTTGATCTTGCCATCTTGAACCTCAAAGATAGCAGCAGCGCTCCATCTCGCTTTCCGAGGAGGATCCGATCGTTCAATCCCTTTATACGGCTTCCCCGCATGCGATCCTTCAGCCGTATATCGCAATAGCACATGTCCACCCTTTGCCCACGCCTGGTCATAGCGAACTATATGAAGATCATTGACGGACTCCATGACGTGGGCATGCGAATCGGCATAGTCCATGGGCGTGGAACATCCTGGAAAAGTAGAGGGACTCCAAAACCAGCTGTCCGGAGTGCACAGGTGGCGAACGGACTCGGCACCTTTATTCTGGGTTGGCGAGTAGGCAATTGACATGTATTCTTTTGCGATGTTGAGGTTGGCCTACACATAGTAATTAGAATTTTAGGAGTAACACAGAGGGGACAATCACTGAATTGTATACGTGCCTCTTCTTCTGGTGTTTGGGTTGCCGAGATGACGGTCGGTGGTTGGCCACCTGTCGCAGACATGATTGTTGAGTATCTGACACAATGCTAAACCCTCACTACAGATTGCTGCGAATGTGATTGATGGGGTAGAGTAAATGTCTGACGGATGGGGCAAACCTATCTATATAGTTACTGATTTATACTATTGTCTCTTCAGTCATCATGACGTTGTGTTACCTCGTCCAACTCGGTTCTGGTCTGTGGCATATCCGATATCCTGACAGCTGAAACTTAATGTCATTTGGTATACTTATGTAAACAAACCTTCCATTAGTTAGACAAAATAGTAGCACTAGGACAAGATGGTAGCTGAAAAGCTAGACACATGCTGTCCTACCCCCACCCGGCCGCAGAAACAAAGTGAGTCCTAACTTTTGAAAAGATATTGAATCGTGGCTGGGGTAATTTTTTCATTTCGAACGATGGCTTCAAAGCACTAATTTGATGCCGGAGTGGCGAGGTGGATTTGAATAACCATGCCGTTCAGGAACTCGTATCATCATTAAGATAACCAATGACAAGCAGGTACACGATGGCCGCTGGCTGATATCTTTCAAGGTATTCTTCTCTATGGTTTCGGTTATATACACTACCGCGACATATACTGGCAACGGACAGGTGGCTACTTGGCAAGTGCAGGGTCCTGTAGTATTAGTACTACGAATCGATCCCGCGCGATTGGCTTCATCAACGAGCGGGGTAAGCTTCATCAGGCGTCTCAACTTCGAATCATCCATCTGTAATTGGTGTAACCTACCCCACTCCCATACTAAGCCATGCTATGGTCGATCAAGAACTAAATCATGCAGTGATAGTTGGTTCTCCAAGTTGATGGGTCAGCTGGGGAAGCGAGGGGCAGTAAGCCGAGCTATCCGTCCACGATTAAAAGGTCAACGGTCGCCATGGTTGGCTACACATCATACTTGCAATGTGTGGTACTCGAGCAAGCTGCAGAGGTTCCAACGAAGATGTTGTACCTGATACTCGCTTTCTCTATTCCTGGATACCTTCTAGCTCTCACATGCTACGATCTCTTTTTCCATCCTCTCCGCAGCTTTCCCGGACCACCACTTGCAAAAGTCTCCAAACTATGGAGCAGGATTGGGAATCGGACTGGCCGAAAGTCTGACCGAATCCATGAAGCCCATCTAAAGTATGGGCCCGTGGTGAGAATTGGGCCGAATGAGTTGTCGTTCGCAGAACCCGCCGCTGCACGGGCTATTTACACATCGCTTGCTTTGGTCAAAGAGGAAACATTCTATGTAAGTTCTCAGAAACTCTATAGATGCGCTGTAGAAGTGAGGCTAAGTGTGGTGTTCAGCGGTCGAAGACTATTTTCCATGAAAATCATCTTTTCTCCACTCGGTAGGTCCGACAGCATGTGTGCAGGCCAAGTACTAATCGAACCAAGGGATGTGCAGGCGCATCGACAGCGACGGAAGCTTTTCGCGCGGGGATACTCGCAGGCAGCCATGCTCGAGTTCGAGCCCCATATCTCCAACAAGATTGATATGGTTCTCAAACAATGGAAGGCACGGTCAGCGGATGGTCCTATTGATGTTTACCCCTGGCTCCACTGGCTCGCCTTTGATGTGGTGTGTGAGTGCATGATATCCTGGCTTTGGTTATCACACTTCACTGATGTAATTCGGCATAGACCACCTGATGTTCGATGATGATCCAGGCCAGGTTACCTCGGGAAGAAGCCATGAAGTAATGGCCTATCTTCAGGCTTGGAAGCCGACCTATATCTACGTAAGTGGTGAAACGTGCTCCCCCGTTTCACAAATTAACCTCCACAAAGAAAGAGTTCCTCCCGCAATTAGACCGATGGGGGGTATATGTTCCAGGGTATGTGGGAGACTACTTTAGAAAGGTCCAAGCATGGAAAAACGTGAGTGATATTTACTAGAATAGCTGCCGAGCTGTCAACAATAGCTGAAGATTTCAGTATTCGGTCAATTTGATTAAGAGGAGCCGTGAAAGGGGCACTAAGACTCCTTTCCTACGAGCGGCACTGAATGGTGACGAGGATGCCTTTCTCGGAAGACCCTTGACCAACTCGGAGTTGGCAGAGGAATGCATGGGCGGGATGTATGTTGTTCGCCATAATGCAAAGTTGACTTCTTCTGACGGTTACTTCAGGTTTGCAGGAAGCGGCACCACCGCTAATACATTCACATTTCTTCTCTGGGCATGTCTGCGTAAGCCAGATGTTGTGGCCCGGCTCAAGGCGGAATTGAGAGAAGCGTTCCCAGATGCTACTATTATTCCGGACCATCGGGTGTGTATCATTTGTATTCAATCACTCTACAGTTGACTAAACCGTTTTCCAGACGTGCTCTTCTTTGCCGTATCTCCAAGCGGTTATTTCAGAGACATTCCGTCGCTATCCCGCTGCTATTGCCATCCTACCTCGCACCGTAGTTAAGGACACAACTATTGCAGGTGTACCAATTCCCAAAGGGGTCAGTTACACCTATCATCTACCTCCACATCATAATACTTACAGAAAGCAGACAGTTGTGGGCGCACAAAATCGGACGATTCATTTCGACGAGAAGGCTTTCCCTGACGCTCAAGAATTTCGACCTGAGCGCTGGCTGGAGACCGAGAATGAGGCGTTGCAGAAGGAGGCTTTGGCGCCATTTTCCATGGGCCCCAGAAAATGCGTAGGTCTCAAGTAAGTGACGCTAAAATCTGCCAGATACTCTAATATGTACTTACGATGAAAGCTTGGCTCAAATGGAGCTCAATAAGTTAGTTGCGGCTTTCTTCCTTCGATTCGATGGGGAGGTCGATAGTAGCATGACCGAGGAGGATATGCGTCTGTATGATACCTTCACTGCTTCTCCTGCTGGAGGAAAGCTATTGGTCCGTCTGAGTGAGTCGACTTAGGAACAACAAGTCTTCAGGGGCTGCGAAATACCCTTGCATACCTGTCGCGCCCTGTGGATATTGGGTGCCGGTACGCGCTCGCAATTTGGCTTGTGGAAATATATGTTAAATAAATACCATTGCTTGAGGCCATATGCAAAACATGGCGAGTACTTTGTCCTTATATTACATTCTTCCATAATGACAAAAGAGACACTAAATTCTACTGCAAAATTGGTTCACTCAAATGGAAATTCGCTACACTAATAACAATATTCAAGTCCTCTTAATTGATAGATCCCATAATGTACCCATCCACGCATTCTATTCCCTCATCTATATACACACCATAATCGCCCCGATCCACCAACTAAGTCTTATAAACCGGATCCTCCGGCAACTCCACCCCCCAAAACCTACGCATCCTCTCCCTAAACAACTCATAACACGACCCCATCCTCAGCACCCGCATCTCCCCAAAATCCATCACAATCGACGCCCTCCCATAAACATGATACCTCTGCAACCCATAATCCACAATCAAATCCGCAACCTCCAAAATCTCCTCCTCAATATCCTCAACCCGGAATTTCTGCCCCCTCCCACTTAAATTCGCACTAGACCCCACCATAACCTGCCCAGCCTCATAATTTAGCCTACAGATCTCCCGTAACAACGAGCCCCCACCCACGAACATCGCAATCGTGTCATCCTTGACCACATTGGCTAGTGTTTTCGGGGTGAATTTCGCCAGAATAGGGTGTTCTGGTCTGTACGGAGCCACGATGCCTAAACCCATGTCGAGGTCTTGAGTGAGGACGCGGGTCATGTTGAACTTGTCTGCATCGAGAACGTGCAGCTCATGATGCAGCTCGTACGATCCAATCAGACCGTGGGCGTGTCCTGGACGGCGTTGCTTCGCGGCGAAGGCTCGCTCGATGGCCTCGACGGAGGAGGCTAGGAGGCCGTAGCCGACTTCTGTGGGGACGATGGCGATGCCTCCAATTTGGAGAACGTTGAAGACGCGCTGGGCGTCGGAGGTGGTGTTGGGGAAGTGGCCGGGTAGGGGGATTGTTTTGGAGTTGGGGGTTGGAGAAGACATTATGTCGTGTAGGAATTATGGAGAGAAACTGATCTAAGATTATCCTTCAATTGTAGGGGTGGTGGGGTAGGATTCTGCTGTAGATAGTCTAATGTTGATCATCGCCGTGCGCTTTGCTGTCAGATTTTAGCTGGCATTTGGGTACAAAATCTGGATTTCTGTTTATCCGCGGGGGATTGAGATTCGGCTTGTAATGCGGTAAGCAAAGCTACGACTTATTGAGACTTTTATGGGTTTATAAGGTGAAAGTTGCATCTATTGGATCAGTGTCATACTCAACCTCAAGATGCAGGATCTAGGTTGTATGGCTCTGGCATGTTGCGCATTGTTCTGCAGCCACCCCTTCACTTTCTCCACGGCAAATAGCAGGGGTGCCGTACGCTAACTTCGGCGTGGCTCTGCCCTTCCGCTAGCAGGGAAACTGTTGCTCTTCTCTTTTCTTTTGGCTATATCACCGAAAACCAATTCTCTCAGTAATTACTACCCAAGTGATTGCTTTACTATCTTGATTCTCTGCTGAACATGAAACCCACAAAATAAACGTCAAATAATCCGTTTGGCTTTGAGTGTGTCTGTGCCCCGCGGGTGTGTCCCGATGATTTACTGTGGGTCTCATTTCACCACAACACTTCTGATGAGACACAGAGTATGCTTGATGGAGATAATTAAGTGAGGCTAGAGTCCGTCCCCCCATATCGTGTACGAAGTATGAATAGGAAGCAAAAGCACTATCAACTACCCGGTTCCAAGCTCGGAGGAATCCGACTTCGTGGTAGAACCATCGTCATCATAGGCAAGTCCAGTGGATATATATCTTCTGCAGTTGTCTTGATATATTTTCGGGTCGATGCGAGAAAGACCGACGTCTATGAGCAACGGCTACAAATATTTGACTCTGCGGCTTGGACATTACCAACGGAGAAAAAACTAATGAACGTGCTAGCGCATTTTAAAGCCAAGCTGTCCAAAATTGGGGCCAAGCGCGACGACACTGCAATTTTTGGACGTGATAGGACATGGTCGAGCAAATAATGTAATTTTGAAGGCGATGAGAGGGGCTCATTGTTCGGCCTCAAGGAAAATTCTGTGTTTCGGAATCTATCGGTGCATGCCAAAAACGGTGGTCATACAGGCTTCCACGATGAATTGCTGCCCCCAAATGCGCTGCCCGGCGTCTAGCGCTAATCACTAGCTCCTTCTTCCTCTTGTCCTTCAAACACTTGTTCCATCCACACACTTTAATGTCCATCTCACGGCCTAGCGAATTATCCAATAGCCATGGACAAGAGCCGTCGAACGAGAAAATCCAGTAAAAAGAGCAAGACAGGTTGTCGGACCTGTAGGTCAGTAAGCCTCAACGTCCCAGATTAGACCCCATCTAATTTCTACAGATTGCGCCATGTTAAATGTGATGAAACTCCAGGAATGTGCCAGCGCTGCACATCTACGGGTAGAAAATGTGACGGATATGACGCAGAGCGACTACCAAATCGACGAACTACCGCCACACTGACCGAGTTAATACCTGGCATTGCTCATCGCTTTAGGTGGAAGTTGACTTCCGATGAGCAGCGCTGTATCTCATTTTTCCAGAACCGAATCGGACCTTCAATAGTTGCCTACTTCGATTGCGTTCTGTGGCAACGGCTTGTTCTCCAACTTAGTCAGGCTGAGCCGGCTGCCTTTCATGCACTTGTCGCGTTTAGTGCTGTCTATGCGGATTATGAAGCGCGAGGAATACCAGTCAATGAGAATAATCCTGATAGTGCCTTGCAGCGTTTTGCTCTCGACCAGTGCGGACGAGCGTACAAATGGTTGAACTCGCGATCGGCCTCTCAGGACCCAGGATTCCGCGACATCATGCTAGTGTGCTGTGTACTGTTCATTATGACAGAATGGATGCGCGGACAGAATGATACTGCTAAGTTACACATGAAGAACGGGCTTCGAATACTAGAGGACGACCAGTCCTTGACGGCAGCAACTGCCGCTTTCTGCTCTGTCTTCGGGCAATGTCTAGGCGAATCACTTGCCTCCCTGAAAGTCCAATCTACCTATTTTGGCATTGAGGAGCCAATACAACCGCAATCTTCGAAGAGCTCCACCCCTGGAACCCCAGTTCTTGATGACAAGCTTTTCTACAGCCTCCTCGATGCACGGCTGACGTTTGAACCATTGATGGGCAAGATTTTCCAATTTCATCTATTCACCTCCCGCCTTTCCCAGGAAGAGATAAGCCTCAACTATGGCGAACTTTCCGATATACAGTTTGAGCTCTCTTCCCGATTAAACCGATTCGCTATTGCACTTGAATTGTTTTGCATATCCTCATTCGATCAGCTTAGCCGCAACGCCCAGCGAAGCTTGCGCACTATGCAGCTACACCAACAAGTCCTTTCCATTGTTGTGAACCTCTCCCTCCTCGGACACGAACACGATGTTCTAGACTTCTACAACCCCTCTTTCGAACACATCCTTTTCCTTACAGAAGCTATTATCGCTAGCTTTACTAATCGCCCTAGCGTCTGTCTTGACATGGGCGTTATTCTCCCCCTCTCCTTCGTTGCGACAAGATGCCGCGAGCCCCTTATACGCGCGCGTGCATTGAGAGTTCTTCGCTCCTGGCCGCATCGCGAGGGACCCTGGGAGTCTACTTTCATCGCCGAGTGTGCCTCAAGACCGCAGGACTCGGGGGATCCATTTTTAGCCATGGTGGCCTGAGTGCAGCTAAGCAGATATTGAAAGCCGTACACGGCTTTTAGTCACGAAGGCTTGCTAGATATCCGAGCCATCTCAGTAACAGCATTCTGATAGCTAATGACGGTCGGGGCTACATCCTAGAAAGACAATGAGAAAGAAATGGTGCAAATCCTTGGCGGATTGAGGTTAATACCTCTTCCAGTAATCCCAGGCTATATGAGTGTCAGATAGATGCAAGTCTGTAGCCTAATTAGGAAATTCTCCGATGAGATTCCGCACCTGGGCAAGAATCATACAATTTCCGGTTAAATCCAGACTTCATCCCGGGAAAGACGCCGATCCCTGCAGCATGGATGTAACATTAATTTGTGGAGTGGTGTAGAGCGCAGACTGGCGTGAATAAAAAGAGGATGGGTTAACAATCAGTCGAAATACGAAGAACTGCGGCGGGTTTCTTCCAAAATGAACATCCTGTTGGGCATCCTGCCCTTGCTATTACCCTTCGCACATGGCACTACCTTCTCCACCAAGCACTTTACTGGTGCCTTCGATGATAGCTCTGGTGTACTGAAATCACTGAAGTCATCTTTAGACTCATCCTTCGACTTTTCCCCCTACGACGTCTTCGCCAATCGCAGCGGCAATGGTCACTACCACACTGGAGACCTGACTCTACGCTACCGAGTAGGCAATTCCAACTCATGGATCGACGCAGATACTGTAAAGAATCGCGTCCCTCTTACTACAGGCAACTCTTCGAAAGCCATACTCTCGTCGAATCTTGACCAGACGATCGGAAACGTCACCAATGACCGATTATTTATCACGCGGAATTGGATCGACTACGAAGGAGACTTAGCCGTCAACTTCACCTTGCGAAACGGAAACACTCAATCCATCGAAATTGGCAGCCTAGGTTTCCCCATCGAGTTCAACAGTATTTTCACGGATCGAACAGCAGTTGAAACGAGAGAGAAGTGTGTCCTGGTCGATCCCTTCATCGGCCTCCAAGCCGGATATGCCCAGGTCACTCGGCTTCTCGGACAGGGTCCCCACCTCGTCATCACGCCTCTAAACCTCGATACAAAATTCGAAGCATGGAGGTTTCTCACAGAGGACACTGATACATCGCTAGCTTATCAGAGTCAAGTGTTCGAGGGCAACTATGAGTGGCAGGTTTATTCGAAGGCATATGCAGAGCAGGAATGGAAGGGCGTTGAGCCATGGAATCCGCCAACCTCGTTAGTGTTGTCTCCAGGCAAATCGATCTCTTTCGGCCTGCGCTTCACGGCTGTTTCGAGTGTCGATGAAATTGAACCTACTGTTTCTTCTCTTGGACATCCGGTTGCTGTTGGGATTCCGGGATATGTGTTGACTCAGGACCTTGAGGGGCGATTGTTTGTCAATACGACGCTTAAGGCTAATTCTGTGAATGTTTCACCGGATGGATGTCTCTCGGCTACATCCTTGGAGCTTAGCAGCAGTGTCTGGTCAGGGTACAAGCTGGTACCGAGCAAGGACACGTTCGGCAGATGCAGAGTTGAAATCGTGTACGACACGGGATTGAAGCATACATTACACTACTACATCACCGATGCTGGGCCCAGGACTTTATCCAATGCAGGCCATTTTCTGGAAGAAAACCAGTGGTATAACGATACTTCGGATCCATTCGGGCGCGCCCCTTCCATAATCACACACGACCGCTCCGTGAACGGTCCAGTACTGCAGGACAATCGTGTCTGGATTGCAGGCTTAAGCGACGAAGGAGGTGCGGGATCCTTCGTTGTTGCTGCAATGAAGCAAACAATACAGCCCGTTGCATCTGAAGTTTTCAAGCTGGAACAGTTCGTAAATGAAACTGTTTGGTCGCGATTGCAGTTGACCAACGGATCCACAGAGTACGGTGTTCGGAAAAGCTTATTCTTTTACGATCCCGACGTTATGCCAGATTATGACTACGATCCTGATATATATTGGACCGGAAGCTGGGATAAAGAGGCAGCTTATCTGATTGACAGAGCCTATGATTACGTTCACGTTTCTTGTCTCTATTGGGGTCTGTACCGTGCTGGTCGGATCGCCCCGAGTGTTTTGACCCTACGACCACCGAAGTGGTACTTGCTGCAGGCGTACAAAACGTGAGTTCCTATCTATTGGTGCTCCAGACTATAATCTCACTAATATGTGTCAAGTGTACTATTCACATTTGGATCCCAACCTGACGGAAGCCAGAACACTTACTATGGTGACCTTGGGTTAATGGGAGAAACGATGTGGATGTATCTGCTCGACGATCTTAGAGCCGAAAACTACACCTCGGAAGCAACCAAAATGGAAGACATCATGCGCGGTCGTGCCAGAGCGTGGTCCACGCAAGAAGACCCTTTCGGTAGCGAGCAAGCCTGGGATTGTACAGGACAGGAGGGCGTCTACCTGTGGTCAAAGTATGACCACACCACTTATTCCCTCCGACAATTAACTAACACCTGTCCAAAGATACTTTAACTACACATCTACGGCACTGAAAACCATCGCCTCAATCAGAGGATATATGCCCACCGTAGCCCACTGGGGCTGGAACGGCAATGCTCGGCGATACTGGGACTTTACGTATAATTTCCCCTTCTCAATCAGACTCTACCACACTAACAAATAACAGAACAGCAGGAAAACTCTCCCGCATCGAGCGTCAAATCCACCACTACGGCTCAAGCCTCAACGCCCTCCCCATGCTAGATAACTACCGATCCCTCACCAACCCAACAAGCCAATCCAGTTTCTACGACCTCCGCATCGGCTACGGAGGCAACCAAGGTCCAACGACTAACGTCGCGTCCGACGGCTTTGGGTCCATGTCGTTCCACTCATTCCCAGAGACATTAGCATGGGATGACTACACCGGTGACTATGGACCCGGTTTTCTGGGCCAGGTTCTTGGTGCTGTGACGGTTCTGTTGAAGCATCCTGAGTTCGGGTGGGTAAGCTTTGGAGGGAATGTCGATTCATCTTCTTCGAATGATGCTGTCACGGTGCAGCCACGCGATACTGTTCGGAGGAGGGTGTATCTGGCGGATCTGGGGCTGGACTTTTCTATTGATGCCGGGGCGATTGCGGAGGTGAGGATATTATATGGCGAGAATCGGGTGGAGCTTGATCTGGTTGACCGGGCTGATGGCTCCGAAGGGGTGCCTGCTACGAGGGCTGTGGTGGGGTACTCTATTACTTCTGTGTCTGGGGCGAAGGGGATTTGGTTGCAGACTGACGGGTTGACGAAGGGGAGGTATGGGTGGGAGGTGAAGTTTGAGTCGGGTGCGGGGAAGGTGGTATTTAAGTGGTAGACATACCCTGAGATAATTTGACAGGGCATTCATGCTGGAGAGAGGCGGAACTTGGTTTTTTTTCTCTTAATGCTCTCTTGATGAGTTATAACGAATCCTCGCTCAAATTCACAATGTGTGCGTTCCATCTTCCAGCTCAACCAGAGGAACAGAATGAAATCAAACCAACCATAACCTACATCGCTAGACATTCATTCCCACCGCAGAACCCACAACATTCCTCCTCTCCTCCTCAGCAGCCTCCCTAATATACGGACTCCGAGCTCTTATCTCCTTCCCCCACACAAAGACCGCGACCGGAGCAAACGCCAACACCAGAGAAACCAACCCCAAAAGCGAACTCGCCCAATGTGAACCCAAATTCGTATACATAGATTGAGCCGCCAGCGGAAGAAACGCAACGAACATATTCTCCCCTAGGCCAATAGCTCCAACAGCGCTCGCGGCATACATGCTATACGCATCAATAAGGTAGTTTGCATTGCTGACTATAACGCACGTACAGCCAGCGCCGACCATAGCAAGACCAATGGCTGGAGCAATCCACGGGATAGAAGGGTAAGATGTCCACGCGGCTGATTGGGTGAATAGGCAGATGGTTCCTATGCTAAAGGCAGACCATATTGTGGAGACGAAGACCACTGATTCTGTACAGAGCATGTATAACGGTCGCTGGACACTATTCCAGACAACCTGCACAATAGAAGTGGTCTCGAGCTCTTCCTGTGTGTATGCCTTTCTGCCTTCCTTCCGTAGTTTCTGTGCCCGGGCTTTGAGGATAGCAGAGCCACGGGTCTCTGGCAACGCAAAGACAAAGATAGGGAAGAATATGCCAGTCCAGATAAGCTGTAGATATCCGATCCAACGCCACGACAAGAATTGGTAAACCGAAGCACCAATAACCGGTCCCATACTGCTGGAGGCCAAGTATATGGTGATATACATGCTCAGGGGAACAGTGCGTGCGCGGTTCCCGACATAAATATTAGATATTATTCCGGCAACCGTGTTAGCTAGAATGGCAACGCATCCACCGGAGAAGAACCGCGTGATAATAAGTGTAGCGAAGTTCTGCGCCACGCCCGTTGGGATCAAGAAGCAGATGTAGATCAGATAAACAGCCAGGAAGACGTATCGGATGCCGAAGTCTTCCATGACAGGTAGAACCACAAGAGAAGAGAGAGCACCTCCCACGCCCCAGGAGGTGATCATCCAGTAGGAGTTTGGGAACGATGCTTCGTTGATATCAAACTGTCTGTCTATTGCATAGTGCGCGGGCGTGATGATGGTTCCATTCATTAGAGCGATGAAAGTTGCGAAAAGCCCGATTCCTGTGACGGCCGACTTCTTCCATGGGGGCCAGTTTATTGGGTTTTTGGGGTCGTTGTCGCCATCCCAGGTTATTATCACAGTTTCGGAATCAGAAGATTGGCCCTCTCATATATGTCTTAGTATATTATGTCGTCGAGGCATATGTGGTCTATCTAACCTTCAGAGGGTGGAATGGTGGCCGGCACCACGGTGACCTTTGTGTCGTCGGTAGCGATAGACATAATGTTGGTATGTTGTAAAACGAGGACGTGTTATATCTAATAAATTTCTATCCACATCAGATGGTGAATATGAGTGTATAAACTTCTGAGCAAACTCTATACATCAGGTGGGCCTCCGTGCGTGGAAAATCCCCCTCTTCTCGACGGCATCTGCTAGCCGGCTGAAGGGATTTGCTTTATGAGCCCTATGATCCTTTTTGCTTTGTTTTCGTCCCACCATATGCCAGTTTAATTTGTCATGTAGCTCCTATTGCGCGCAATTCAATAGTAAGTCCGGATCCGTGTAGATCCACACCGCCTCTCCATCTTATTCGGCCGCTCAAATTCCTCGATAGTCGGTCAACAGCATCAGGGGAATGTTACTTAATTCCACTCAAACATCTAAATGATCCCTTGCAGTCTCCGTTTCGGCCTTATCGCCAGCATACGAGACAATCCTGATGTCGCGACAGCACCATGTGTGCTGTGTTTCCCTCCATAAGAAAGGATCTTAGGTCGCTTGAGGCCATGTCTAGCTCTGGTAGGGAAGGGACGCAATCAATTGCAGGAAGCTCTCGATATTCTGTGCCGAAGCATCAACACAAAAGGACTACCTAAAAATTCACTGGCATTCGGGGGAACCGGAGACCCTCTCACCTAAACGCATTACCCGGCAACATATCACAATCCAGCCGAAAAGGAAAACCTCGGACGCAATATCATTGGCAGTATCGAATATATGAGTCCCATTGATTCTATTGCCCATGGGAATACCGGATGCGGACGCGACTGAATGAGGCATAAATAAGAGCGAACCTATTGGATGAGGAAAGAGGTATTCACCAGTCTCAAGCGGAAAAACGTCTGTGAAGGCGCAGTAACCACGGGGCAATTAAGCCGCTTCTTAATCAGAACAGCCTGAGAGGGCTGTGGCTTTATAAGAGCATTCTCGGCCTCTATGTCGCTCCCCACAACAGCTCCTCGTAAGCACATATTCATATTGTTGCGTATTGTCCTCATTGACGCAACAGCACGTCGTCCTACCGTCACAGTAACAGGGCGATAGGGCATTCCTCACGAGCAGCGTATCCTGCTGCATGTTGAGGTATCCGTAGGTAGTTTATAGCCTGTTCAGGACTTAGTGCCCGCTAGATAGCTTCTTGCACTGCGTGATCAAGAAGAAACGACAATCGGTGTTGATGTACTGGAATGAATGAAAGTCAGTCATGACAAGACAAGTATATAGTTGAACATATCATTCATTATCGGAACTGATTTCCGCGGCTTTAATGGCAGGGTTATCTTCCCTGAAGGATAGCTGTACAGTGAGTGTGATTCGTAGACATGTAACGGATATCATCACACTAAATCTGAGTACTTAGGGAGCTGAAACAGCAGTCGATGATCACGATTCGCAAGTCATCAGCGGACTTTTTGTTGATTGAGGAAGCTACGGAGGTCAACAGGGGTCATCAGGCAACAACAATTCTTTCTATTCTGTATTGATAATTTTGAGCTAGTGCTTTGGGCGGTATAATGGGATCCCCGGCAGTCAACCGGACCTTGAAGTCGGCTTCATCTTGGACACTATTACCTTCTTTCTCTTCGTCTGTATTGCCCCTCCTGCACTGGCTGGGTCTTTGGATCTGGATAAACCATACTCAACATGGCAATTGGTGACATCAGTCAGACACTAAGATGGTGGAGATATCGGTCGGCGTTAGCACTTAGCTTAGCCCGAGTCTCCGAGAAGAGGCTACATGTCAGTCCACCTGATACACAAGGCTGTTCCCCTGACTGTCCAGCAAAGTACATCACTAATTGCACCCTAGGGCACCAACCAGTAGCTGGCATCGGTCGGCTCATTCGAGCCGATAAAAGCGGATTGGAGCCAATCAAATACTAGCCAGTTCAGTATCTCCAGTGCACTGACCTCAAGACGCAGGGATACCGACCGGATGCAAACCACCCATGGCTAGTTTTTGATTGGGCCAAGCATGAGTTTATTTAGGGCTGGTCATTATGGCGGCGGGCAATGCCGCTGTGGATGTTCTCACTACGCCCGCCCCGCTCTCATTCTCTGAGCCTTTGAGGATGCCTTTCGTTTCTCCGTCGGAGGAGACTTTGCGACATTTTGCCTCATTTTAGTGAGAGAGACTGCTCCCCGCTTATAAATTCTGCCTCGTGCCGTTGCCCTTCTTTACCCTCTTGCTGCCTACAATGCTCAGCCTCGCGCGCCACTTTCATAAGCTGCTTGCTTCCCAATATCATCCTTACAAGGCTTGGTCTTGGTATGCTTATCTCTTGAGCCTCGCTCTCTTTCTTGTCTTGGCCCCAGTCTATTTTGACACGCCCCCCTCTGCTAATCCAGGCTTAGTTTCAATCTAGCCAAACGAAGCCAACTCCTTGCAGCGAAAGAGCCCTGGTATAGAAACACGAAGAAATGTAAGTTCCGAGACACACGGAGACAATTTCCAGGATGTTTCTACAAATTCCACCGGAGAAATCACATAAATCTCAAATTCCATTCCAATCTCTGATTCCACTGGCGTCCCTGCAGTCAGTTCCTTTGCAGCCATGTCGACTCCAGAGCCACTTCCCAACCCCCAGCGTGTCATCACCGACACTGATCTCGAGACCGGCATATCTCACTTCAACACGACTCTGGACGAAAGCCTTGCCGTCAAACAGGATCTCGGAGGTTCCTTATTCCGTTTAGGATACATCACTGATAAGACCCCTAACACGCTCGATGGCACCGATCTCACCAACTACACGGAGTACCTGGAGACTGCCAGCGTGCCTCCCGTCACTCTCCCTGACGGCCGTGGCATGATCTGGTACATCGACACCCCTCCTGGTAAAGGCAGTCCTTCCCACCGCACCCTCAGCTTCGACGTCGTCATTCAGGTCGCAGGCGAGATCGAATTGACTCTCGAGTCAGGCGAGAAGCGCATCCAGAAGCCGGGTGACATGGTCATCCAGCGCGCTACCACTCACAGTTGGAGAAACCCCAGCGAAGACAAGTGGGCCCGTATGGTTGGTGTCATGTACTCCAGCAACCCTGTGGTTCTCAAGAATGGCACCGAACTTGGTCCTTCTGGACTCTAATCGCGTCAGCAGCAATGGTATAGACTATTTGTGTCTACATAGAACAGCCAATTCATTTTCGGACCCATTTACTTTTAACGAATCCTAGCTCCTAAGCTTCTAGCGTTGACAATATATTTTATCTGCTAGTATACTAATCGGTTCAATATACAGAAGATAATGAAGACTCGAAATACAAAATCTCATCATTTTCTGTCTCGGTATATTGACATATTCGGAACGGGAGACAACATCACATAGCTAAATGTTGGATCATCGAATTTCATATTCGTATATCTCTAGAGACTCTGAGGGCATTTCTGGATTGTTATTCAACTCTAACAGGAAATGTTCACGATCAATATAATTGAAACATGATTATAGCGAATTCTACTGTTATTTTCTTTTCATTCTCTCTCCTTTTTTTTTTTTTTTTTTTTTTTTTTTTTTTTTTTTTTTTTTTTTTTCTTCCATTCCCGTACCCTCCAGTTATAGAGAATATCTGTATCTAATAACTTTATAAATTAGACGAGGTAGTATAAAACAGAGTATAAGATCAATTCCTAATCTAGTGAACAGAGGTCTTCGAAATAATTGCATAGAATAGTTAGACTAGCACTGTGGCGAAGGACTTCATAGGTTCCCAACCCAAGAACGAACACAGAATAGGAGGAATTTATTGATAGAGAGATCTGCACAACAGAATAATCTATATCCATACGAATACATCATCACAAGACCTCCACAGGAACATCCACCACCTTATCACGGATATAATCAACAAACCCCTTCCCAAACCCATCAAGCCGACTCGAACTACTCACGCCCCGTCCCAGAATCCCATATATGACAAAGTGCACAGCCATGATATTCGGGAATTCGACGCGCTCAATGAAGAAGCTATCATCCCAATCCCCGCCTATGAGCTCTCGCATTCGATTTCGGGTCATATATGATCGAAGCCAGGCCCACTGCTTGGGGTTCGTAACAAAAAGTCCACAGTTAAGGTTTCCGCCCTTATCGCCTGATCGGCCGAGAGCAATGTCTCCCAAGCGGAGTTTCTTAGTGGGGCTTTTGAACAATTGTGGTTCTTCTGGGTCGTAATTCTCCCGAGGCGTGAGTTCTTGATATTGTGGGGGATGGCCGGTATCGTATGAGCTGATGTTGTTGGATGCGTCGATTATATTTATTTTCTCGTGGATCTCGGATTGTTTTATCAGCGCTGGGTAGTAGGCGAGGAACGGTAGGGGAAGGGCTGTTCGGGTGTCCAGTGATGCATGAAAGCCTGCATATTAACCCTTCGTGTGAGATGACTGCAGTCTACATATATGTGATTGGATCAAAGGAGATGCTTTGGGCCACGTACCGGAGAAATGCTTGAGAGAGATATCTTTCAGAGCCTTTGCTACAGCCAGAACAGCGCTTTCTGACTGCGATGCCACGAATACACGCAGGTACGTAGTACTTTCGGCCTGGAAGGCTGGGTTGGCTGCAGGTGTTCCAATCCTAGAAATATTAGACCGAGAATAAACATGGGACCCAGGACAAGTCGTACCTCTGAAACTCCAATGTCTCCAAGCTGTTCTTGACTTCTTCTGGAAGAAAATGACGCATCTGCCGCTCGAGAAGATCCCACTTCTTATCCGTAGCATATCCAGTTGCATTGAGTAGAAGTTGGGCTTCGTATCCTCCTCGGTAGAAGACAGCAAGCTTGGTCGTCGGGGGTGGTGGCGATCCTCGAATGCCCGACACATGCACGCTGTATACATTTTACCATGATTAGATATGTTCGCTAGTAATCGCGTCAAAGTACTTACCTATCTTTCCCCACGTCTTTGACGGCAACATCTCCGATATAAGCACTCACGTCACTATTGAGATAAATATTACCCTGCAGTTCATACAGGAATTGACTGCAGACAGTCTCCGAGTTCACGATACCCTGTGTGTTTGGGTGTTTCGTGATAACGCATGTGCCATCCGCAGCAATCTCAGCGATGGGAAACCCTGGAGCAACAAGATCATCCAGAGGGTATTTATCAAACCCAGCAAAATTGGCACCAGTCACATACGCAGAACACTCGATCAAATGACCAGCAATCAGCGATCCGGCAAGCTTGTCGTAGTCTGTCTCTGACCAGTTATGCCAGTACCATGCTGCAGCGATAACCGGACTGGCGTCTGCAACGCGGCCACAGATAATGATATCGGCACCTCGGCGCAGGCCATCCACGATGCCACGGGCACCCAAGTACGCATGTGCAGACACCATAGGGACTGGATTTCCATCTGGCGTGTTCAGAAATGCGTAGGTGAGATCTGAAGGCACCACATCGGAGTTGGCAGCATCAAGATGGGTCAGCTCTTCTTTAGTAGCTGGCATGTTTGGTCCAACGCGATCATACAAGTCATCGCCTGAGAGGTACGCAACACGGAGATCAAGCTTCCTCTCACAGACCTATAGAATAGTCAGTTGCGTCAGTATGCTCGTCAAATTCTAGCATACAAAAGTAGTGCGGCCTACCAGAGCCTGGATCTTCAGTGCGAGAGCTTTAGGATCCAAAGCACCACCGTTGATAACCACTCGGATCCGCTTCTGCGCAATCACTTCGATGGTCTGCTGTAGTCCTTCCCAGGCAGTAGCTTCGTATCCGGGGTGCTTTCCCTCCCGCCATGCTTGGGCATTGTTCGCGAGGTTGACTTCTACACACTCGAGCTTAGAAACCACTGCTGTTTCAATAGGCGTAAGAGCAGTATGGCTTACCTGCGAGATAATCACCAGTTATAAAATCAACATCTCCCAGTGTTGCCTGTCGGTACATTTCATACGCCGGATCGCCTGCCATACAACATCAGCCTGAGTGTCTCGTTCAGAATGTCGGGTTGCCTACCATGATATCCAGAGCAGTTGGCTATCCTAACAGGGCGTGTCTCTGTTGCAGATGACATGTTTACAAGTTGTCAACCTCCGTAGTAGTCGCTCAAGAATAACCTATGAAGATTGATAGACAGACACAATCCCCGCATTTCTTGGTATACATCAATTACACCTTATATACCAAGTTCCCGTACCTCGGCCATCGTTCGGATATTAAGGTATCTGATCAAAGAATTGCGTCGTCGAATAGTAAACAGCTCCTGGATCAAGGATGTTGGGCATTGACCCTTCGATCCGAGTGGACCAGTAGCATTCCCTTGCTTCGTGGTGTCTGTATCCCTAAAAGGCTATGATTGACTTTCTTTCTTTGGGTCCCCGTGGCCCGTGGCAAGACCCCTCACCAGGTATGGCACGATTATCCAGAGGGTATCCAACTTATGCAGCAGTATAGTAGAATTAGTGTCTATTAGCCAATTAGAGCCCCTTAAAGACGTCATGGATCCGTTGATCATCTCCAGTTTGTTGGAAGCTGTGCCGTGGACCTCGGACTTGGAAGCCCGCGGGCCGTGGAGCCAAAATGTCCGGGCCCATTCTTTGTCTCCTATATGAATATGACAGCTAACGCAAGGGGTAGTGTCGCATGTGTTATCTTCTTCATTCTATCGTGAGATATATTCTCTATTTACTTCTTCTTCCACTGTTTGATGATTCCATCCTAAGTCTAATCAACAATGACAGTGGCCCATGAAACCATTCCCGGTACGGAGGTCTACGGACCCGGCACTTTCATCGACAAGACTGTACTTCCAGTGCCTGTAGACGCTCGTCGGGTGTTTGAGCTTCTCGCCTCTCGAACCCCTGGGTTTACCCAGAACAAAGCAGTATGGGATACCGTCCACTTCGAAGGACGACCTGAGCCTATGGTTCAAGGTCCGATCAAATCACCCGTCATGGCAGCTGCGCTTCATGCCATGGGAGGAGTAGTGGCTAATGAGCTTCTTGAACTGCGTGATGGAAAGCCCGCGACGGAGAATAGTGTGACAGTCAATACCGACCATGCAGGCATCTGGCTCGGGTCTGTGTTCACCACGTACATCAATGGTTCCGATGTATCCGCCCTGGCACGGTCGGGGAAGTTGAGTTCACTCTTCGAACAGAATTATGAACAAGGCTTCGGCAAGGGAATAGCCAGCCGGGCAACCGCTATTTACCAAACAAAGGATCCCAAAGTGTGGTATCAGCTTCATGGTTCACTCGACGCAAACGCTGCTCTTCGGACAATGGGAATCAACCCTGATGTGACTTTCAGCACACCCCAACAATACTATGACTATATCCAAGGGCATATCATCAAGTGGTCGCCCGATGAGCTTGAAATGCACAACGTGCGCCATGGTTTGTGTGGAAGCATCTGCTACTCTCCGGAGGGCTGGAGGAAGACGGAGTTTGGTAAACGCCTTTCCAGACACCCCTTGGTCAATGTGACGGCGGAGACATATGCAAAGCCTACGCCTCCAATCCCTCTAGTCAAGGGTCTGTCTGACAAGCGGCCACTTGCTGGAATCAAGGTCCTTGAGATGGTTCGTATCATTGCTGGACCGCAGATTGGCGTTACCTTGGCATCCTACGGGGCGGACGTGATCCGTGTTAATTGTAGCAGACTGGTGGACCTTAATGTATGTTTTCCTTGCTCCCGTGTTGTGTAAAAGCCTTTTAACAGAAGCTTGGGTTCTAGGTCCTCCAGCTCACACTGAATGCGGGAAAGCGGACTATTGACCTCGACATCACCAAGCCGAAAGACATGGAACGACTGCAAGAACTCCTTGCAGATGTTGATATTTTCATCCAAGGGTTCAGAATGGGTTCCCTAGAGCGGAAAGGACTAGGGCTCCGCAACATGCTGGAGATAGCAGCTAAAAGGAACAAGGGAATCATCTATGTCGACGAGAACTGTTACGGTCCAGATGGCCCGTTCCATGAGCGTCCTGGGTGGCAGCAGATTGGAGATGCGGCATCTGGAAGCGAATATGTGATGGGTCGATCACAAGGCTATGAGGAAGGAAAGAGTGTATTGCCACCACTCCCTGTGTCTGATATGATAACGGGCATTGTCGGTGCGGTTGGCGCCCTGATTGCGGTAAAGAGACGGGCAGTTGAAGGCGGCTCATATCACATCACTAGCTCTTTGGTTGCTGCTGATGCAGTTGCACTGGAGAAGGAAGTAGGGTTATACCCCCTTGAGGTGGTACGAGACACAGTCGAGCGATTTGGGTTCAAGGAGATTACTCCTGATCAATACGTTTCCGAAGTCCTGATCCCAGTCATTGACGGTTGGAAAAGAGGATTGCCTCATGATTTGGACGAGGACTCGAGGTTCATGACGACATTCAAGGAGCCAGGACCATGGGGCCGCCAGACTCTCTTGAAACCCGTTGCAAAATTGGGTCTTGAGGAGGCGACGCCAAGATTGACTTCTCCTCCTGTCCCGCACTGCCATCATGGTAGGTATATCAGTTGGCTTTGATATAACTCGGGGTATGGAGATTTGTATATAGTTTTCTGAGTCAAGCAATCACGTCTCAAGTATCTGACATATTGGCCTCTGGTATATCCACTCCCGGAACGACCGGAAACGAAGGCGCACCTGAAACAAGATCCTGCCAGTTCCAAAATGGTGGTAGGGACCACTGCCAGTTAGCCGTTTGATCAACTTCGTTGAAAGGCCCCGGAAAACCGATATCTGGGTAGGGCCCTTGCGGCGTGACATTCGTAAACTGAGCGTTTCCCATATTTGCCGCAGAAGCGCTAGCGAAAGGAGTCGATAACGTGTCGGAAATATTAGAGGCGGTATTTTGATTGACCCCATGACGAGACAGACTAGGCCTGTCATTTTCGTTATTTTGCATAATTGCTGGATGGTGGTTGCGGGCGGGTTGCGCCGTCATGAAGGCCCTCCTGGCAGAACGCTCTAAGTCAGAGCACATGCCCAACACAAAGTCGACGTATGTATTGGGCTCCTCAGAAGAAGTACATGTGAGAAATTTGACAACATCCTGGACCATTGAAAGATCGTCCCCAGCATCTGAATGTGCAGGTTGTGCGAGTATCCTTAAGGCAAGAGGCACACATGCTGCCGCTGGAAAGTAAATTATGTTCCTTCAAAGGGAAAGGTCAGAGTAAGCCTTTTGGAGACGTCAATAAGTACTCACCACTTGTAGGTAGAGCCGAGCGAAGGTACATGCGATAGTAGAGCCAATGCAGAACGTGCTGCGTCGAGTGATCGTGAAACTGTTGGCGCAATGTCCTCGTCCGCTCCCTGCCTAGACCGTTCGATAGCGTTTGCTTGAAACACACACGCCTGATAAAGGTTTGAGTAACAGCAATTATATGCGAAATGTAATCGAAGGACATGTTGCAGGAAATAAGTTGGTTTACAGGAAAATCTCCGCTGGGGTTGAAGCTTCGAATGTAAGGTCTTCTTCCAGCTCAACAACGCGTCTTCACAAGACTTTATTCTCTCAATAACATCATCACTTGATTCTCGTCGAACAGTTACCGTGTAAAGCTTTTTATAAACAAGCCGCTGAATCTGGGCTATTTGAGCAAGGAGACGGAAGTAATTCATTCTAGTACCGTCAATTGTTAGTATGCCTCTGCCGTCAGGTGGATCTTCTGTCGGTAAATGTGTATCATAGTCTTCGAAATCCTGGACCGGTGGGCGGCCCACCCGGATGGAAATGTCTGAGTCAAGTATGAAAGCGATCCAGTACACTCTTCGCCTGTGCTCCGCCTCGGGTGAAGCTCCAGAGCCATTTTCTCTATGCAGTCCTATTGACTGCGCCAGACGCATTGCTGCAGCCGCGAACATAAGAAGGGCTTGTGGATTAGGTGTGCCCTGAAAGTAAAGTGCCAGACCTAGGAGGCCCTGCACGGCGGCAATATCAGTGTTTTGAAGGAAGACGTCAACGACAGCGTTCAAGGCATTCTTAACATGTCCCAACGACTTTTTCCAATTGTCACTAGGATCAGAAGATGCATGCGCCCTTTCTCTGTATGATATGGCCAGAGCAATGTTGAGAGAAATCCACCATGATGCACTATTATCGGGATTCCATGAGTATTGTCTGTCGACGGACCTCATAAAGGAGGCTTCCTCAAGAAGAGGAATTGCTTGGTTAAAGGTTGCAAAGTACTCTCGCACTAGTTGAACAGTTGTATTCTTACAAGGCAGAGGTTCGAAAACACGCCGTTCAAGGCCATCTTGAAGAATTTGAGGAATCCAGCTCGAGAGTGGCCATGGATTAGCACTTCTTTGAGGTGCGCGTCGCCAGATCCCAGTAGCTGGCTGTGCCTCTAACCCATTTAATTCGGCATTTGTCAGTGCAGAAAATGCAGACGAAGCCCCTAAGCACGATCAATAAATGGGGCGCAAATCAGACGAAGATGTCGCGACCTACCAAAATAGCGCATTTTCCCGTCCTGTGCGTCGATGACAATAGATTGATCGCTCTCGGCGGGAGGGTGAGAACCCTTGTCAGAAGGTACCTGAGGCATTCCAGGGATGTTGTCTCCGTCTGTTGGGTCTTCTGGCTCCCCGTAATTGGTACTGCTCTCAACTGACGTGCCCGGCGAAGTTGACCTTCTGCTATCCTCCACGCCTCGCTGGATTTGAGTTCCAGATCTAGTCAAACTCTCCAATTGCTCCTGCATTTTTTCAATTCGCTTCTCTAGCTGCTCAACATACGTCCTACATCCGTTAGTCATCTGATATACGTAGTAGCTCCTTTTTCAATAGGTGAGCCTAGCACCTACCGACTCTCGCGTTTCCGGCGGTCCATGACATCTTGATACCCGCAAGATAACTGGAATGCGTGGCAAGGTGAACAAATAGGTCGCTTTCCATCACATTTGACCTTTTTACGCCGACAGGTATTACATGCCTTAGGTGTACCAGTCAGTGGGTTACCATATAGTTTTAGATCGAGCGAACTCACTTTAGCTCGCCGGACAATGTTGGTTGTAGATGATTGTGTTTTGTTCATCTCTCCTCGACTTTAAGTGATTGTAATAGACTCAATCCGGAGCGCAAAACCTTATATACAAGCAATTCGGATTAACAAGTGAAACGTATAGTTTGTCGCAGATTGGAACATCCAGTGTTCAATGAATATTGTAGTTAATTGAAGCAAGATCGCGCCGTTGGCTGCAGGGCTGGTAGACTAACCGAGGCTCACTAGTGCCGGTGAGCTTACTGTACAGCTGCGGATTAAAGATGTTCCTGATAGACCACCAGAAGTGTATGTCAGGCTGCTGCAACAGGACGTAACTAGATCAGACGACGACAAGGATGATATATTATACACTGGATTCTCGCCTTAGGTGACATGATGCAGACATCCGCTACCTCTGATCCCTATTTACACCTTGGCATCTCAAACATACTATCACTTTTACAAGAAAATCCTGGGCCTCTACAAGGCCTGTTCACGTGAACATAGAATATATATCTAAAGAAGCATTGCCTTCAAATCCTATCATATTTCGCCCATGTAACGATCAAGTCCGGAGCTCTGCTTATGTACCATTTTGACTGACCCGAGCCTTGACACCAGCTTAGCTCGCTCAGTACACTGGCCAATTACTGAACCACTTGTTCATGAAAGACCGCTTCTCGGCGGAAGCCACCAAGACTGGCTCCCACGCATCGCCTAATTCCATCACCACTGGCTCAGCAGCATCGTTGGCCGGCCAATTGGGCAGCTCTGGGCCATTGGGATTCCCAGAGCGCAGGAAGTTTACCCAATAGTCGGACAGCCGGTCGGCAATCGCATAGTCCTCAGGCTTCCAAGGCTTGTCAGTCGCATACAGGTTGTTGAACGCATAGTTGATTTCACTCATGTGGTACGCGCCCTCATTCTGGCCTGGGGGAGCATGGGTCCAGTAGTAGGTGTAGGTGCTGACAGTGCTGTTGCCCGAAGTGTTGCGCGCAACTCCGGCTTGATACTCGTTGGCCCACTCCCAGATGGATATGCGAGTCTGGTCCTGATAGAAGGTATTGCTGGCGGCATCGGCGCTGCTGTTACTGTTCCCTGCAGGATATAGTTGGAAGAACTCAGCGGCCAGGCCGACGCTGCCAAACTCGTACTGATTCTGGAGCGTATAGCTCTCGACCGTCATCCCGGGGTTCGGGGTCGCACCATTTTCATCTCGGTTTCCGCCAGTCAGAACCGCGGCGATTGTATGATTGCCCTGTTGCAGCATCTCCTGGTAGGTAGCCGGCAGTACGTAGCCGTCCAGGACGGGACGGAACAGCGGGGGCTCCATATAGACCGAGTTGTTGGCAAAGACCGTATTCACGTAGGTAACGTCACTCGCGTCGGCGCCGGCCAGGAAGACCTCAACTGGAGCGGCACGGGCCGCGGCAATCCCTGAGAGGTTGAGGCTGGTGAGATACGCAGCCCCCTGCGCCTCCGCGACGGCGAGATGGCGGTACCCCTCGGCCACACTCCCCATCAGGGGGTTGGAAGGGTAAGTGGCTCCGCTCTCAGCAATCACCTGCTCGAAAAGCCCGTCCGCAAGTGGACTGTTCAGATGATCGAGCACAGCAGCGGCGCCTGCTGACTGGCCGCCAATAGTAATGCGGGTTGGATCGCCCCCAAAGGCGGCGATGTTCTCGTTCGTCCAGTGCAACGCCGCCTGCTGGTCAACTAAGCCGTAATTACCTGAGGTACCGCTAGACGAGTTCTGACTGAGTTCGGGGTGGGCTAAAAAGCCCAGCGCGCCTAATCGATAATTGACGGTCACAACCACGACCCCCTTGGCGGCTAGACCGGCCCCATCGTACAGGGCCTGGCTGCTCGATCCCGAGCCAAAGCGGCCCCCGTAGAACCAGACGTAGACTGGAAGCTTGCTGCTGGACGAGGCGGGTACCACGCCGATCCCGGTTTCCGTGTTATTCTGCACGTCGTTTAGAGTGGCCGTGTCGGGAGTCCAGATGTTGAGATATAAGCAGTCCTCGCTATAATAGCTTGACCCGAGCTGGGGACAGTCTGGGGCAAACTCGGTAGCGTCACGGACGCCCGTCCATCCGCTAACATGTTGCGGATGACGCCAACGATAGGCTCCAGTCGGGGCGGCGGCAAAGGGGATTGCCTTGAAGTTATAGACCGAAGAGATGTATTGTGATCTATTGCCTTGCACCGTGCTCTCGTAAGTGTCGATGTAGACGGTGGGTGACTGCACTGGAGCGGCTGACGAGCTCAGTGTGCTTTTCGACTGAGTCCTTGTGCCGATAACGCGGCCATATGCGGCACTGGCCAGCAGGGGCCCCCAAATCAGGAGCTTCATTGCTTTGGATCACAATGGTTGAAATCCAGTTGTCAATTGGAGTTGGTCAAGGTGATGCAAGCTTCTTTTATATTCACCATTGCTCTTCACTCCCCTCGTCCCCAACTCCATTTTCTTCAAGATCTACTTTCCCCTTTCCCCACTTTTCCCCAAATCTGAGCTTAACCGCTCCGTAATATCCTTCCTTTCGTGCGGGAAACACGGGTGCCCCTACGGACATCGGATAACGGAGATGGTGCGAAGTCCGACATTATCCCGTATACGTCCTACTCGCCTTTTGTCCTGGCTGCACTTTGCATGCCCCCTCTTTGCATGGCATGCACTGCTCGGGTCAGATGCCAGTCGAACAAGATGTTCTATCCCACCGCCGAAGGCCTGGCGGTGTACTAGAGAAGGCTGACAGTATTTTGAACGCGTGAAGTCGATTAGGACATGCTGACCCTTTAGTGCGGGACGGCTCCGTGTGCTTGTTTCATCTCCACACAGACGAGTTGCATAAGATAAGCATTGACCCTATTGGGCCGTGACCGGCATCGGGGGATAGTCTTTTTTCACCTTCCTATTTGCACTGCGGCCTGCAAAGTAATGGATGGACCTGCGACAGAATAGGCTTACCCCCGCATTTGATGACGCGGTCAAGCCGGCTGAAAGCTTAGCTCCGTCCCTGTTTGCTAAACAGCGGAGCAGGACATGCCCTGAATTATTGTTCCTCTAGCCCAGAATAGTAATATCTCATCTAAATCCCCGCGTTGGGGGACGCTTTGACGCGGACAACGTTACTGGACTGCATGTCAAAGAATTGACGCACCCAATCGTCTACCATGTAGATTTGACTGAAAGGGACAGCAGTCCCTCTCCCCACCCCCACAGACGATATTCTATCCGAATCTGAGTGCAGTCATGTCAGTAAAGAAGCTGGTACTCGACTGGGCTATTGAAGACTAGACATGAGGTGGTAAGACGGATAAACGTATGTAGTACTACGATTGACCCCGGTAATTTTGTTAGTACAGTGGGCAGGTGCAGGGATCTGAATCCTTTGTTTTCTGCTGTTCATATGATTATTAATACTTCGTATGGCCATTCAGCGTTGCTATTCAAGGCTTCACCATGGCCATTTAAGAAGGCGGTGCCGTATGGGAGACTTACCGCTTCAAGGATTCAAATCCCTGCAACTCTCCACCGTACTAACAAAATCACCGGGGTCAACCAGAGTAGACGGGCTTACGGTGTTCAATTACATATTATGCATTCTGCCGGCATTAAATACCAAGAAAACGTTATGTCCGACAGCCCCTAACCGCTTCCGTAGCCAGTTTGCGCCTGTAAAGCCGAGCTGTGTTCACCGCCTTCCACCAGGGACCAGCTCCCCGCAGCATCTTCGGTAGGAGATAAGGCACGCCGCTATCTAACATCCCAAAGTTACTGGCACATTTCGCACTTGCACCCTCATTCTGTATGACATTCCAAGCACTCTTCCCTAAGTCTCACCGCATTTGCCGTACCAACTTACGCTAACCTTCTTCATTATATCCCTCAAGTCAGCATCCACCTCGTAAACACCATCCGCTCCCCACAAGCGGAATACTACAGTGACAGCTTGAGCCCACCACTCTCAATACATCCACACAAGAACCCCTCGCATTTATACCAAATCAACACCCACAATGTCCTCCACAACACCAACCACCCAAACCGACCAACTACCACCCCACCTCGACCCCCAAACCTACCCCCGCACAACCACAAACCCCACCCTGAACACCCACATCACGCTAACCTACCACCCCCTCGATCCCACAAGCGCACTATCCAAGATCTCCTCTCCCAACGCCGGCGCAAATGTCCTTTTCCTCGGCACGACACGCAACTCCTTCGAGGACCGCCCCGTCGCACAACTAAGCTACACCGCATACCCGCCTCTCGCGCTGAAGACATTATCCAAGATCGCGGAGGACGCGGTGACGAAACATAAGCTATTGGGTGTCGTGATTGGACATCGGCTCGGAGACGTGCCGATTGGGGAGAGCAGTATCGTGATTGCGGTTAGTGCGGGACATCGCGGCGCGGCGTGGAGGGCTGGTGAGGAGGTGTTGGAGCTGTGTAAGGAGAAAGCAGAGATATGGAAGAAAGAGGTGTTTGTGGATGGACAGGGGGAGTGGAGGGCGAACAGGGATCGGGATGCGGAGGGGAAGTTAGTGCAGGGGTGAAATGAGATATAAGTCGGTAGGTGAGTGAACATGGCAATGAAAGGTGATGGCTGGAGAATGCTAATTGACAGTCTTATTTTACAATCACAGAGTAGGGTATTGTCTATGATACACATCGAGGCAGGCAGAGACCATCACCACTTAGTCCTTCTTAAGGGGCTTGCCCTCCCGCTTCCAGTCATTGATATGTTCCATGATCGTCCTCGTGGCCGACTCAGGCGTATCCTGACGACCGATGCACTCGACGAAGTCGTTATCGGGATCTGTCAAACAAACAAAAGTCAGCTTCAGCTTCCCCCAGCTGCAGGAAGAGAAAAGGAAAAGGAACATACCCATCAGATAGAAATAGATACTGTGATCGACCAAATAATCCTCCCCAGGCTTAATATCCCTCGGGGTACTGAAGTACACGCGGTACTGCTTGCAAACATGCTTAACCTCATCATACGTTCCCGTCAACCCAATAATACCAGGATGGAACTCCTTCAAATAAGCGCGCAGCACCTCAGGCGTATCTCTGGCAGGGTCACAAGTAATAAACACAGGCAAGAAAATATTCTCGCCCTTCGTAGCCTCCTTCACCTTATCAATAATCTCGGCCATTTTGTCCAACTCATCGGGGCAGATATCAGGACAATGAGTGAATCCAAAATACACCTAACCCCAAAACCATCCACCATTAGCCTCAATCCCAAGCCCATAGTAAGAAAAGAAGAAAGAAAAGGAATACTCACAAAACTATACCTCCCCTTCAAATCCTCCGCCGTAAACTCCTTCCCATCCAAATCCTTCAACGTAAACGGACCTCCAACCTTCGGCTTCCCAACCCCCTTACTCATCTCCGCAATGCGCTTCCTCTCCAACCTCTCCTTCTCAACCCGGAAGTAAATAATCATACCACCGCCCGTCAAAACGAACAGCAGCGCCGCCTTCCATGAGAACGGGCCCGTCGAGTTCCGCGCCTTCAATTGGCCCATTGTGCGCGCGCGAAGGCAGACAGGAGAGGTGGAAAACGAGCGGCGGAGTAGTCCTGCATTGTTGCTGCTGCTGCTGCGGCTGTTGATGTTCGTTGCTGCTCTGAGGTTCGCGGAGAAGAGACCGGTCGTCTTCGCGGCGGTGTGTTCGATTGGGGATAGGGCGGAGCGAGAGGTCCGTGTGAGGATCCGGCTCATGGATCTCATTGTTGATGCCATTGTTGGTGTTGTTGTTGTTTGCCTGGGTTGGAGAGGGGCGCTGGTGCACGGATTTTCTGGCGTTGAGGTAGGTGTGGTTTTCGGAGTTCGCGGCGGAGGTTTGGATGTTCGAGACAAGCTTGGTCCGGAGGATTGGTTTTCTGGATGGGGTTTAGTGTCAGCGCCTTAGGCATACAGGGATGACTTGGTGTCACGTGTATTTTGGTACAGGCTAATGGGTTATAGGACTTTTGATTCATCTATAGAATTGGATGCAAACCACACGTAGGGCTCTATTCCATCGTTTGAGAAGACATTAACAGTTGTAGAATTACAAATATTACACCCGACCTCCTGTCCAATGACGCCGGTCCTGTCCAATGCACTGCGCGAGGGGAGCAGTCGTACATGCTTGCTATGCAATTTATTGCTCGCCGGGAAGTATGGTCGCCGAAGGAACAAGGGCACGCAGGTTGATATAATGGAACAGTAAAGTATAAAAGTAGAGAAACCGATGAAGCGAAAACGACAGGTGGTATTTTGACACGGTTCGTGGCGTAAAGACATTGCGAGACTTGGTATAAACGAAAAGAAATGAAAAAGGAAATGCATCTTTTGCTCCCGGAGGTTGTTGAAAGATGGTATGTACGGAGGAAGTCGGGGGTATTTCACTGTACACTTCGACTGGCTAAGCTGGCCCGACTGGGAGTCGTCCGTGGTTCCTCTTCTTCGATTACATCGCTGAGGCGCGTAGGATGACGATGGCGCGGGGTTACGGACTCCCAACCTGTTCCTACACCCCATCCCGAGCCGCTATAATCGACAGACTGGGTGTAGCCTCCGTATAGAGGTCCGGATGTTGTGGGCATAGAACTGGGTGGGTATCCACCTTCCTCTACTGACCCATGCTCATACTCGTCGCTCGCTTCGGACATGGCAGGCTGGTAAGCAGTTGACTGGCCCTGCGGGTTGCGGCGGTAGCTGCTGCCGGCCTCTTCTTCTCCTTGCTCGCTACTAGCAACGCTGGGGCCGTAGGAGCGGTCATCATTCTCAGAAGTTGGCCGAGGTGGATACGCGGCGCCCTGCTCATAGAAATGTCCAGGATATTGTCTCTGAGCTTCCGGAGATGATGATGGAGGTTCTTGAATAGGCCTATGCCCTTCCACAAAAGGATCGGTACCGGTAGGGGATGCAGGAGTTTCATAGTATTGACCTTCCGTCGCCGCTGTGGTTCTCGCGGCGCTCTCACCACTTGCGTATGGGCTTTCTCGGGTTGGCGGGCGATTGGTATTATGCCGACTGGCAGGGCCTGGGATCATAGGTACGACCTGTACGCCTCCGACTAATGTAGGTTCTCCATTCCGGAGGGATGTAGTACGGTCGCGTTCTTCTTGTTCGCGCCGACCCAGTTCTTCCCATGCGCGGCGGGCCTCGTCCTTGGAGATTTGCAACTCACGGCGCATTTCTTTCAGTAGCTCTTCGGCGCGTGACTTGTCGCTCTCTGCTTTCTGCAATGAAGTGAGAGCATCAGACCGAGCTTGTCTCTCAGTCCTAACCTGCCTTTCTAGCTCCGCCAACAACTCTTTCGAGCGTTCCTGTTCCGCACGGGTGTCGAAGAACCAACGCTGGAACTTGCGCTCCGATGAGGCCCGCAGGCGTTGCAACTCAACTACGGCATGGAAAAGATTGGCACCAGCAGCAGAAAGGTCCGTCACCTGGCGCGCCATTTGCTGA